AACATACCTTGTTCCCTTTGTCATCGGTATGTTACTTGCCTGAGATTCGATTGTCGGTATCTCAATACCTAGTTCAATCTCGTTACCGGCAAGTCTCTTTACTCGTTCCGTAATACATCATCCCGCAACTAACTCATTAGTTGCATTGCTTGCAAGGCTTATAGTGATGTGCATTACCGAGATGGCCTAGAGATACCTCTCCGACAATCGGAGTGACAAATCCTAATCTCGATCTATGCCAAGTCAACAAGTACCATCGGAGACACCTGTAGAGCACCTTTATAATCACCCAGTTACGTTGTGCCATTTGGTAGCACACAAAGTGTTCCTCCGGTATTCGGGAGTTGCATAATCTCATAGTCATAGGAACATGTATAAGTCATGAAGAAAGCAATAGCAATATACTAAACGATCAAATGCTAAGCTAATGGAATGGGTCAAAACAATCACATCATTCTCTAATGATGTGATCCCGTTAATCAAATGACAACTCATGTCTATGGTTAGGAAACTTAACCATCTTTGATTCAACGAGCTAGTCAAGTAGAGGCATACTAGTGACGCTTTGTTTGTCTATGTATTCACACATGTACTAAGTTTCTGGTTAATACAATTCTAGCATGAATAATAAACATTTATCATGATATAAGAAAATATAAATAACAACTTTATTATTGACTCTAGGGCATATTTCCTTCAATAGATACGTTGGAGACATATCACATATTATGTATTGGGCACACCTTCTAGTTTCCTTATATACTTGAGGTCGTGGTCCACCGTTGTATATCATATATATGTGCAATTTGCATCTGAGTAATACATTGTGCAATTCTCATAACATACATGGTATCAGTTTTTTAGGTTTAGGACCTCGCTTCTGCTCCGCCGCCGCACGCCTCCTCCGCGCTGCCGCCTCCACCGCCCTACCCGCCGTCGTCGTGCGCCTCCTTCGCGCCACCGCCGCCCTAGCTGCCATAGCCAGGCACCTTCTCCGCGCTGTTGTCGCCGCTACCTCCTCCCTCGCCGCCGCGCTTTCCCTATCGCTGCCCTCACCGCCACCGCCCTCTGCCGTCGCGTGCCACCCCGCGGCCACCAAACCCTCGTGTCGCCGCCGCCACTTTCCTTAGCCGCTGCTGCATCTCCACCCCACACTGCCGCCGCACCTCTCCCTAGACGCCACCGCCACAAACCCTAACCCTAGCCTGAGCCGCACCACCACCTCACCGCCATGTCGTCCATCACCTCGTCCTGCTCCACCATCAACTCCAACCCGTTAGCCGATGCCAACCCTCCCGACGTCAACGACATCCACAACCTCAAGATCTACGAGCGGATTCCCGTTCGTCTCTCCCAAACGGACTCCTCCTACTACACGTGGAAGACGTACTTCTCCCTCGTGTTCCAGGAGTACCACGTCGTCGACCATGTGGAAGGCTCTGTCGACTCCAGCCTCGTCCCCGACTTCCATGACTGGTCCACCATCGACGCCACGCTCATCTGGTGGTTCTTCTTCACCATCTCGCCGGACCTGTTTCACACGGTCGTGCAAGACGGCGATGATGCTCACGTCGTGTGGACCAAGCTGAACAGGCTCTTCACCGACAATCGCCTTCAACGTCGTGTTTTTTTGCAGCAAGAGTTTTCTGGATGCCACCAGGACAACTCCTCCATCGACGACTATTGTCGCTGCCTCAAGACTCTCGCTGACAAGCTCCGCGATATTGGCGCGAAGCAATGTTGGGGACATCGCTTATCAGGAACTTATCGGCCGACCCAGGATAAGGGGTAAATCGGCCATTTTATCGGCATATCGGCCAATTTATTGCCATATCGGCTGATTTATCGGCCGATTTATCTTATCGGTCTGACAGTGGTAAGCGATAAATCGGCTGATTTATTGGCATATCGGAAGATATCTTGAATAGTGGTGCGAAGGTTGACGATGATCTCCTTCTCAGCACGCTCACCGCCGGCCTCAACGAGGACTTCGGCAACGCCGCGGCGAACCTCACCCTCATCCCCAAGCCCTCCTTCGCCAAGTTCGTTGCTTACCTCCGGCTGGAGGAGCGGCGGATGAAGCAGGTGAAGGTGCGGGCCATCCACACCGCCCTTGCCGCCGCCACCCGCCGCCCGGCTGCGCCCCAACAGCAACGTCACCCGACGCCCTACCCGCAGCCATCGCAGCAACCGCCGCCGCTACCCTTGCCGCTGCCCCCGTACGGGGCCCTCGCTCCTCCCATGCCGCCCGAGGCGGGCGGCACCGCGGAGGTAGGCGCGACGGCCGGTGTGGCGGCCAGCAGCAGCTGCATGCCCTCCTCGCCAGTAGTAGCAGCTCCAGGTGCCTCCTCCGTGGGCCGGCAGGTACAACCCGTGGACCGGTGTCGTTCATGCGTACACCATGCCGGTCCCACGGTCCCCTGCACCGACTCTTCCCGTGCTGCGTTCGCCGGCGCATCAGGCATACTACGCGGCTCCGCGGCCCTATGGAGGGTACCCACCGCCGCAACTGAGTGGCGGCTACGGCTTCTCGATGGCGCCGCCGTCACCTTTGCCGGCGCTGCCATTGGCGCCTTGGGATCCGGCGCTTCTTGCCGCACTGCACACCGCCCCTACGCCGAACAACTACGCCGGAGGCGGTGATTGCTACATGGACGCCGGGGCTACGGCTCACATGTTTGCTCATCCTGGTAATCTTGCCTCCTTCACTCCCGTCACCACCGACCGCCGCATCAGTGTCAGTGATGGTTCCACCCTCCCTATTACACGCCGGGCACACTTCTTTTCCTTCTAATTCCATGCATTTATCTTTGTCTAACATACTTGTGTCACCTCATCTTATTAAGAATCTTATTTCCGTCTGTTGTTTCATTCGTGAAAATCTTGTTACTGTTGAATTTGACGAGCTTGGTTTTTGTGTCAAGGACGCTCGAACCAGGATGGTACTTCAGCGATGTGACAGCCCCGACGAGCTCTATCTGGTGCATTCGCCTTCCTCCACGACCACCGCACCGGTCGCCCTCTCTACTGGCGTTGATCCCTGGCACGCTAGTCTGGGTTATCCCAACCCCGTCACCCTTCGTCATATTCTTAGGAGTTTTAGTTTCAGTTGTAATATGATAGAGGATCACACTTGTCATGCTTGTCGTGTCGGTAAACACATTCATCTTCCGTTTAATAACTCCACCACCATTGCTTGTACGAGTCCGTGCGCATCGCCTGTACCATCCACCACGAGTGGTGGCAGCTCCGCGTCAACGAGGTGGAGCGTGACCGCTTGTCGATGAGATTGCGGCGGAGGTAGGCACCAAGGCACCGCATGTGGTGGCTGACTGGAACGTCGCCAACGCTTGCATCTCCTTATCGTGGCGTAACGACTACGATGTCGGACCGTCCAATTCGATCATCGATCTCACTTCCACCGGCGACGTCGATGGTCGGTGGGCAGATTCCGACGAGGGGTAGGCTGTGGGTCATGGACGTACCCAATATCTTACAAAGAGCAGACTAGGGTTGAGTTTATCTTTTTTGTTATGTAAAAAATAATCTTGATGATATTAATGAAAATACTATATGTCCACGTTTATTTGGTGCACCGTATTGAATGATCGGCTCTTTTAAAGCAGTTTGCGGACACGTCCGTCAATTTTTTTTTTTTTTTTGAGAATGACACGTCCAACATTTGGTTTGTGTATTTTGGCGTATAGCGCTGGAATTGCTGTAAACACGCACACAGACCCATCGGTACGCTTGGTCGCTCGCGTTTGGGCCACCCATATCCCATCGCTGGGTCCATTCGCCTGTCCCGGTTGCTTGCAGTGGGACGGATCACCTCGCGTCCGCGTCGTAGACCCGCCCATCCGTTTCAAAAATGGGTTTGGCTCCCCTCTGTCAGTCAATCACCTAGCCGACTGTGGTAGCCAGCGCGGCTCTCAGGTCATGTACAATGGTTGATAGAACAGTTTTATCTTAAGTCTTGCATGTATTTTAAAGATGATAAAAAGTATGTCTACAATGGGTTACATCTTAGCCTTATCTTCAATAAATAGTAATTCCTTAAAACATGATGAGACAAATTATGCTAAAAGATCATCTCTTGTCTTATCTTAAATAAAAGAAGACAAGCCTTTTCTTATGAGTTCTTTTTCCTCCATTTCATCATTTATCCTACGTGGCACTTCTAAGATAGCATTATTATACATGTCCTTATACGATTGTTTGCGCCACTAGCACGTGCAAATCCAAACGAGTGCGTCCAATCCTGAATGAATTCAGTAGGCCATTAGGCCCGAGCGTTTCATGCGGGATGCGACACGACACGAGAGAGACTAGTACTTGGTCTCGGTGCATCACGAGACGAGAGGACCCGGGCAGTCAGTGGCCGGCCGTCGCTGATTGATTCGAGTTGAAGGAATCAAGGAAGCAACAACGGCGTCAAGGCAAACCATCCATCCTTCCTCGAGCCATCAAGACCGCTAGCTCTAGCGTAGCGATTATTCAGGTCAGGTCAAACCCACTGACGCGACGAAAGCAATTTTTTTCTCTTTTTTTTTGCGCTTCAGGTAATGCAAGGAAAACAATGCCCATCTTCTGCGGCGACGATCTTATCGAATCGACCTCCAATTGGAATGTCCCATTATTTTCTCAATCAATGTCCCATGCAACAATCTAGAGTACCATCTATGGATGGATCTTATATACTACTAGTGCTTGTATAAAAGAACAAAATGTCAGCAGCCGGAGAACCGGGCCTGCATGTCCCCCGGAGATCCAAAGATGATTAGACACAAAATCTCGCGCTAGCCTGGCGGGAGCCGGACACGGCTTTCCGGCCCGGCCCATCCCCATCCGTCAACTAACCTCCCCCCTCTCTTCATCTTCAAATTAAAAACCCAGGGCACCCAACCGCACCACCTCCTCCTCCTCCTATTCCTCCCCTGTCCCCGCACTTGCCACATCCAGCAGCCCGGAGCAGACCCGCCTCAACGCAGCAGGCAGCAATGCCTCCGGACGGCGACGCGGAGCTGGCGGCGGACGAGCTGCAGAGCCTCAGCTTCGGCTCCTCCGAGCGCTCCCGCTCCGCCTCCACCGTCTCCACCGCCACGGCCTCCTGCTCCACCTCCTCCTCCTCGGGGCCAATCGCCGGCGTCCCCGCGCCGCGCTCCTGCAACCCCTCCGCCCTCGCCCCGCGCCTCGGCACGGTGCAGCTGTCGGACATCCGCTTCGTGCGGAGGCTCGGGGCCGGGGACATCGGCAGCGTCTACCTGGCCGAGGTGAAGGGCAAGGGCGGGGCGCTGGTGGCGGCCAAGGTGATGGACCGGAAGGAGCTCCAGGGCCGCAACAAGGAGGGCCGCGCGCGCACCGAGCGCGAGATCCTCGAGGCCGTCGACCACCCCTTCCTCCCGCGCCTCTACGGGGTCGCCGAGGGCGAGCGCTGGTCCTGCCTCCTCACCGAGTTCTGCCCCGGCGGCGATCTCCACGTCCTCCGCCAGAGGCAGCCGCACCGCCGATTCTCCGAGGCCGCCGTCAGGTACTACGCCACCTCCTCCTTCGTCACAACTACATAGGCATTCATGCACTTAATTATACTACCTCGAAAAATCAAACTTTTTCATAGTCTCTGTTTCTGTCTCTGTGGAAGCAAAAAAAAAAGAATCAACAATTGCAAGGTTTGATCAGATTTTGTTAGGCTAAAACCGACGGTGAAGTAGCTACTAGTGATCACATAGCCTTTCCGGTTCCGGAGAAGAATGTGGCCGGTTTCCTGCGCGTTCTAGTCGGCTTCGTCTGTTTCACTTTGCCGTTTCTCCCCCCACTTTTGGCATAGTTTAATTAGAGCACTCCATTTTTAAGGATCTAGTGGACGCAAAGCCCAGTTCCGCGCATGGTTCCGCTGGCCCCATGTGTCTTCGGTTGGGCACGCATTTGTCCATTCATATGCAGTGCTTGTCTAGCCACAGTGCCCCTCATCCTGAAAACACAAGGCATAATAATATGACATCGATTGCTGCTGCCCCTTTGGACGGATCCCTAACCAAGATGGCAGGCACCATGGAGATAGCTTCCTTAACAGCACACGACCGCGACACATGAGGATGATACCGTTTTGCAAAACGGAGCCATGAATGAATGAAATAAACATCCAAACGACATCTTGCCCTGTTTCTTCGCATTCATGGGCCATCCCATCGATATCTCCCATGGCGTGGTGTTGGGTCCAGCTGCTCTCACTGTCGCGTCGCCAACAACAGTTTCTTGGTTGCTGATCATGCTCTCGGCTCTGAACCCAGCCAGCGGCCACACAGTTGCACGCCCACATTATCATCTCGCAGTGACCAGTCAGTCAGTCAGTCAGTCAGGAAGTGTTTGCATGTGGAGACCGGCAGCGCCCGCCCTGAAACCAAGCCTGCCCATGCGGAAGTGATGAAAAGCTGGGCTCGGCATATGCGCTTGCATGCTTCCCTCCTTTGCCGCATCTCTCTCCTTTTTCTCATCATTTTGTGCCTGCCGACGATATACTATACGAACGCTGATGTTACTTCCTTCCGGAATAGACTTAAAGTAGTATTATTCCCGGCCGTATGTACTACATCCATCGCTATGGGCGAGAAGAAGAAAAAAGGCAACAAATACGAGCTTTTCCTTTACTAAGGCCTCCTTTCGTTCATAGGATTGAAAAATCATAGGAATAGAAAAGTCATAGGAAATAAGATGACATGCATCTCAAATTCTATGCATAGGAATAGAAAAGAAGATGCCCTTTGATTCACACCATAGGATTTTTTTCATTGAGCCTAAGCTAATGTTTATTTTCCTATGAAATGTGGAGGATAGGAAGAATTCCTCCATAGAAATAGGATTTCATTCCTACAAACCAAAGAGCTTTGAAGGAATTTTTTCTATAGAAATCCTATCCTATGAAAATCCTACAAAATTCCTCCAAATCAAAGGAGGCTTAAAATGTGCAGTAAAGATAAGAAACAACAATATGAATTCACGGGAAAATAATGTCTTTGCTTAAACTTTGTGTAGAAACAAAAGGAAAAAAAATAGGAGAGTGCAGCATGAGTTCATGAACGAGCGGCGGCCAAAAATATAGCAACAGTAAAATATGCTTTCGGCGGGCGCCATTGTATGCACGCACTCCGTTAAAAAGCCCACGTCGTACAACGTACTCCCACCCACACACACATACATACTATATACAGCCTTGCGAATGACGTGCACTCCAGCAGAAATGAAGCCTCGTTTCACGGGGCAGCACTAGTTGTTGCAGTACGAGCACTAGCAGCAGCCAGCGGTAGGCAGTAGTAGGTAGGAGTAGTTTGTATGCAAGGGCGTCGTGAATTTGGGTGGTACCTGCAACAGTCTTACTACTACCATCAACGTGTCGTGTGGCTTTATGGCAAGGCCGGTCGCCGTAGGCATTGCCGGTGGTGCACACGAGCCGCCCACCGTCCCTCCGCCCCGTGCTACGGCGCCGGAACCGGTCGCGGAACATGGCTTTTAAAATATACTCTCACCCTCATAAAACACCGGTGCGTGCTTGTGCTTGTGCTTGCTTGGTCAAGACCCAAGAGAGGCCAGCTTTTATTAACCCCCATGTGATTTGCCAAGAATCACAGCTCTGAAACACACGCACAGCACAGCACAGACATGGCCGCCCATGAATGCGGTCGACATCACGTAGTAAGGATTAAGCTAATTAGGCTGGTCATAGTGGGGAGTAACTTAGACTAGTAACATACATATGTTACTAGTCTATGTTACTACCTTCATAGTGGGTAGTGTCATAGGTGTGGTAACATAGTTGTCTTCATTTATTACTTTGTAGACTCATTATGCATTGGAAACCGCTATGTGATGGTAACATATTATGTTACTCTATTTGCCTCTCTCCTCATTAACTACTTGTCACATCATCATTTTTGCTTATGTGGCATCTATGTTACTATCTATGTTACTCCCACTATGACCAGCCTTAACCCGATGAAGGAACTATGAATCGAGTACATGCACACATGATGCTCGCCATTAAACTAGTCTAGGCTCCACCCCAACGTGCAACGCCCCCGCATCAATGATGCGCTAATTCCAGTACTGTCTCTTGCCTTTCTTCCGCCTCTGACTTTTTTGCTTGCTAGTAGGAGTAGCACTACTGGAGCGCACAGTGTCAGCCACCGTGCTAGCTTAGCTTAGCTAGGTTCAGATATACAGGTGAGTATGTGTCTTTTGGTTGCATGTGAATAAAGTCAAGAGTACGCTTTTGTGCTATGCAATTAGTTGCTTCTGTAGTAGTACTGTTTTCTTTTTCCACCAAACATGCACCGGGTCCATCGTTTCAGCCTGCTGGCTGTAAAATCTCGTTGCTAATTCGTAATTTTGGTTGCATTTGATAGATTATAGTACTAGTAGTGGCAATGGTGAATGACATGTAGTGTACTGCGGCAGGTTCTACGTGGCGGAGGTGGTGGCTGCGCTGGAGTACATTCACATGCTGGACATCGTGTACCGGGACCTCAAGCCGGAGAACGTGCTGGTCCGCGCCGACGGCCATATCATGCTCACCGACTTCGACCTCTCCCTCAAGTGCGACCCGACGGCCCCGACTCCGGCGCACGTCATCTCCGACCCCGTCGGCCTCACCGGCCGCCCCTCCGCGTCGTCCACCTGTATCATCCCTTCCTGCATCGTACCGTCGGTGTCCTGCTTCAGCCTCTTCCCCGGCCGCGGCCGCCGGCGCCGGCGCCGCAAGAAGGCCTCGGGCGGCGGTGGCGGGGGCCTGAACGGCAGCAGCGACGGCAGCCTCCCCACCGGCGTGCTGGACCTGGAGTTCGTGGCGGAGCCGGTGGAGCTCCGGTCCATGTCGTTCGTGGGCACGCACGAGTACCTGGCCCCGGAGATCGTGTCGGGCGAGGGCCACGGCAGCTCGGTGGACTGGTGGACGCTGGGCATCTTCATCTTCGAGCTCCTCTACGGGGTGACTCCCTTCAAGGGGTACGACAACGAGATGACCCTGGCCAACATCGTGGCCCGCGCGCTCGAGTTCCCCAAGGACCCCTCCGTCTCCTCCGCCGCCAGGGACCTCGTCACCGCGCTGCTCGCCAAGGACCCGGCGCGCAGGCTCGGCGCCACCGTCGGCGCCGCGGCCATCAAGCGCCACCCATTCTTCAACGGCGTCAACTGGGCGCTGCTCCGCTGCGCCACGCCGCCCTACGTGCCCCCGCCTTTCAGCGCCGCGGTCGCCACGGCCGCTGGCTCCGGCGGCCCCGGGAAGAAGAACAGCCCCAACGACGACGACGACGACATGTCGGACGACAGCTGCCCCGGCACGCCCGTGGAGTACTACTAGATCGGATCAGACACGAGGAAGCTCCCGCGCACGCACGCACGTACGTGCAACCAACAAGATGCTGTCACTGACGGGACCCAAGCTGGAAGCTCGTACCACCCTTGTCCGACCCTGGCGCACGTGGTGGACCGCGCTGGATGGCGCGCACGAGGCGGCCTTTGGTTGGGAGCTGGGCGCGCGCGCGCGGCCAGGCGCGGCGCTGTCGCGTCAAATAGTTGCCGGCAGCGGCTGCGTCTGCGTGCGTGCGTACACGCCGTTCCAATAATAATTTATCGTTGCTTCTTTCTAGTATTTTGACTTTACATGGAGTAGATGTATGACACATAGTTAGCACTTGTAGCAGTAGTAGAGTTGTATTATGAGCGCTGTTTGCTAGTATGTCAGGGTTTTGCTCTGCTTGTAGTGGAGCTTTTTTGTGCAAAGATGGTTAATAATTTGATGTGCGTTTTGGGGATGGAGCTGCAGTACTTTTACGAATGATGAGGCCGGGGGCAAGGAGACATGGCTCATGATAGACCATCGGGTCTGGGCTTTGGGCGGCAGCCGGGGGACACGAACCGGTGGAGCGAAAGACGGCGAGAGCTGCAGCGGGGATCGATCATTGCCCCGGGAATTCTGCGCACTGCTTTCCCTTTCCCTGCGCGCTCGTGCGCCCGCGTTTGCCACCAAACTCGCTGATCGCACGTACTTCTAGATGTGATATTCATATTAGTACTCCAGATGATCGGATCGATGGCCCAGTAAAGGTGCCGCTGTTTTTACAGCGGTACCTGTACCTGGGTGAAAAAGGCAAAGGATGTCTTATCCTGCTGTGCTAAAGAAGTAAAGGCTGGCCGACTGCAGTTGCAATGATCATGCTTCATGCATGCTGCCTGTGTGCCTGCCATACTAGAATGCAAGTCAACCACATACGGTGGAATGAAAAAGAGGTGAGGGAAGCTGGGTATGGTAACACAGTGGACAAATTTCGTGTTTTGACCCTTTTCTCATACTTAATCGAGATCTGATCCTAATTTGTAAAAAAAAAAAAAGGATCTGACCCTTTTGCTACTGTCAGGGTTCATGGCGGTACTCGGTTCCACTTCAGATTCGCTGATACATCCACAGCGGGTCCACCTTGTCAAAAAACACGGAGAGGCGATTAGGGGGCGATCGTGAGGCGACCGCCGCCGACTCGCTAGGGTTAGGGTTTTTTGCCAGTGGTGGTGTGGATTCCGATGGCCTGTGTGGGACGACGGCGTTCCCTGATCGGGCTGATCGGATTGGGTTCTTAATCCCCGTGGTCTTCCATGGCGGAAAGAAGCGGCAGGGGAGGGATGGAGACCCCTCGGTCGAGGGCAACTCCCCGTGCGACGGAGATGAATAGGGCTGCTGGAGCGTTGATGATGAAAACGCCGGCGCCAAGGACGACTCCAACGGGCCTAAAGGATGGTGCAGGGAAGATGGCGACCGCAGAGAAGAGCAGAACCTCATCGACATCACCGGTAGATGGGAAGGAGTCGGCGGAGGCAGCAGGACTATCAGATCGGCTGGGAGGGCTAATTCTTACTGAGAAGGAGGCTTCCGGCTTTGTGTTTGGAGAAGCTAGGAAGGAGATGCCTAGGGCTACAAAGTGGTCGATCATTGGCAAATCTTTCACGCCCAGGCCGATGAATTTTAAAGCCCTAGAAAAATCTATGCAGAGGGCATTGGGCCTCCACAAGGAAGCAAAATTCTATGATATTGGGGGGAACAAGTTTGTGGTGCACTTTGGGAGCGAGGGTGATTGGAAGCATGCCCTTAATGGATGACCATGGCAGTTTGACTTCAATGTAGTTGTGTTGAAAGGTTATGAAGGCAATACTAGGCCGTCTGAGATGGTGTTTGACACAGTGGAGGTCTGGGTTAGGGTCACTGACCTTCCCCTGGACAACAGAACAGAGGCTTTTGGAAAGGCGCTCGGGAACTGGCTTGGTACAGCAGTAAGAGTGGATGTGGAAAAAGATGGATCAGCTAAAGGAGTTCATCTTAGGGTTCGCACAAAGCTGTCAATTTATGAGCCTCTCGTGAGGGGTTTCAATCTGAAGGAGACAGAAGATGATCCTGAAGGAACTTGGTACGACTTTGCTTATGAAAAAAATCCCTCACTTCTGTTTTGAATGTGGGAGGCTAGTTCACGGGACTGAAGGGTGTGTACCTCCCGTAAAGTCAGATATGCAATGGGGAGAGTGGCTCCGTGAGTCACCGGGGCGATCCTCCTCTTTCAGGGAGGGGGTGCAGAAGGGAGGGGGCCAAAACAGTCATAGTTTCAACAGTGCTCCCTCGAGCGAGAGTAATGGAGGCAAGAGGTCGGAGGGTTTTGTTAGAAATATTCCTACGAAGAGGAATCTGAACAGAGATTTTGACGGCTCAGCTGATTCCCGCACTGGCGGCAGAGAGAAGAGGGATGGAGAGGAGGTAAACAGCCCGATCAAGCAGCGGCACTAGCCGTCTGTGGATAAAGGCAAGGAGGCGAGGAATTGGCATGGAGAGGAAGGACAAGATGAGCCACGCAAGAAAGATCTGAGGGATGAGCTGGAGCGAAGAAAGGAGAAGGAAATGAGGAGCGATCTAAAGTACAAACAGATGGACATGAGACAAGAGTTAAGAAAGAGATATGCTGCTAAGAGGCGACCTGGGTATTATGTTAGGAGAATGAGGGATGAGTATGATTATCATCTTAAACATAATTATGATCATACCCGCTCTAATAGCAGAAAGAGGGCACCAAAACAGATGTGGGTGGCTAAGGGTGATCTGGACCAGCACAACAATCAGGATAATTTCATTCGGACCACTAGGCTGAAAACGGACTCGGAGTTTGACCGGATCTCCGAGCATGACCGCACTGTGTTTGACCGTATCTCAACAGCAGATGATAGATCGGCAGACCCTGCAAGGACGCAGGGCTGCGAGGAGCAATGATCGTTTTAGCCTGTAACTCCCGAGGATTGGGGTTGGACTCGGCAGTGGGCGAACTACGAGACCTGATTAGGTCATACAACCCAGCGGTGGTGTTTTTGTCAGAAACAAAAAAGAGGTCAGGGGCAATGGAGAGGCTCAAGTGGAGCATGGGCTTTAGACAGGGTGTAGCGGTGGACTGCAAAGGCAAAAGTGGAGGTCTAGCACTATGGTGGAGGGATCATGTTGATGTTACAGTGCGACCGTGGTGCCAATATTACATAGATGCAAAGATTGTGTACGAGGGTATCTCTTTTAGATTCACTGGAATCTATGGAGAGCCCAGCATTGAAAAGCGAACAAAGACGTGGGATGTACTTCGTTACCTCCGAGCACAAGATGATCTCCCGTGGCTCTGTGCGGGGGACTTTAATGAGGCACTTCGACAAAGTGAACAGCAAGGGGGTAATCCTAGGTCCTTGAACCAGATGGCACTGTTTGAGGAATGCTTGTCCGACTACGGACTAGTGGACTTGGTTTTTCCGGATATCCGTTCACTTGGGATAATAAACAGGATGCGAACGATAATATCCAAGTGAGGCTGGACCGGGCGACGTGTAATGCGGATTTTGCACAGATTTTCCCAGCAGTAGAGGTGCAACATATCATGACGGAGGAGTCTGACCACCAAGTGTTGCTCATTAGAGCAATGACAAGGCAAGGCGAGGCACAGGCACATGGTCAGCGAGCATTTCTCCATGAGGCTGTGTGGGCAAGGCATGAGGGATACGAAGACATGGTCGCTGCAGCATGGGGCGAGGCCCATGTAGCCAACCAGCATGGCGGGGATCTTGAGAATGCATGCAGAACGCTGAAGATCGCTTCAAAGGCCGTGCAGGAGTGGAGTCGAAAGGTTTTTGCCTCCATTAAAAAACAGATTGCGCACTTGAAGCGCCAGCTTGTTGACGCTAAGGAGCGAGCTGCAAAGTCAGGATACCGACAAGAAGTGAAGGAGATCGAGGATCAACTTCATGAACTATATGAGCGAGAGGAGGTGTATTACAAACAAAGATCGATGACGGACTGGCTAACAGAAGGAGACCAAAACACATGGTACTTCCAGAACAGAGCCTCGCATCGAAAACGTAAGAACACGGTAAAGGCGCTAAGAAGTGAGGATGGGACAAAGTGCACAGATGATGATGGCATGCGTAGGATGGCCGCACAATTCTACGCTCAACTATTTGCTGCTGAAGGGTCGACGGATAGTGAAAATGTGCTGCAGCATATTGAGAGTGTTGTTACAGAAGAGATGAATGGAAATCTTGGCGCGCCATTCACAGATGAGGAGATTGAGGTGGCCCTTTTCCAGATGGGGCCTACAAAGGCTCCGGGACCGGACGGATTACCGGCCATGTTCTACCAACGACACTAGCAGTTGGTTAAGAACGATGTTTGTGGTGCGATAAGGGAGTTTTTGGCAGGGAAGGAGGTGCCGAATGGGTTTAATGATACTAGCATTGTCATGATTCCGAAAGTAAACTCACCGGAGTTACTTTCACAGTTTCGCCCAATTAGCCTATGTAATGTTCTTTATAAAATTGCGGCAAAGGCACTGGCCAACCTCTTAAAAGTTGTGCTTCCTTTTATGATATCTGATGAGCAGAGTGCATTTGTCCCAGGAAGACTAATAACTGATAATGTACTTGTGGCCTACGAATGTGTTCACGCGATTAGGAAGAGGAAAAGGAAGAAGCCTATGTGTGCAGTCAAATTGGACATGATGAAGGCGTATGATCGAGTGGAGTGGGATTTCCTGGAGAAGATGTTGTTGAAATTTGGCTTCTCTGATCAATGGACAGAGATGGTCATGCGGTGTGTGAAATCACCTCTTTCTCTGTTAAGTTGAATGGTGGGATCTCTCATCGCTTCAACCCTTCCAGAGGACTTCGACAGGGTGATCCCCTCTCCCCATACCTCTTTCTATTCTGTGTGGAAGGTTTCTCGGCGCTTTGGAAATATGCACAACAGGAGAAGAAGGTCAAGGGATTGGCATTCAGGGGTAGCGGACCAACGGTAAC